GATAGTGAGAGAGAGAGAGGGAGACGTGTTTTTTCAATTCTTAAAACTCTTTCAGAGGACTTCGCCGTTGATTGGTACGGTCAGAAAGGAAAAACGTCTTTTTAAATGGAGAAAAAGCTGTGGGGGTGGGGTGGGATGGTTTGGATCAAGTCCTTGCAGAGTGAGAGTGTCCACCCAAATCCATCCATAAAGAGAAGGAAAAAGTTTATGAGGATGAGGCCCTAAACAATCAAATTAAGGGGCTTCTCAAAAATTCAGTAGAAGATGTTTTGATGCTTAAAAATACTCAAATCAATCATCTTAACCATAAAAAAAAACAGATTAAATCTTGGATATAGTGCTTATAATGCAGTATTTGGGCTTTGATTTTCGAGTGTTGATAATTTTTTTTATTTACACTATTTTTTAAGATTAAATTTTTATTTAGAGATGAATATAAAATTTTCTATGCTATAATAAAGATTTCTAGTACCTAAAAAATTATATTTTGGCACTATTTGAAGGTGTGTCCTACTTATAATTCTTTTCTTTTACTTATAATTCGTAAGGGCTTTGGCCTTGTACAAATCACACCTAAATAGAAATCTAGGGAAAGCTATTGAAATTTTATCATGTTCTTTTTGGTAATTTTACCAAATTTGTTGTGATAATATGCTGGGCGTCAGATATTTTGTTTTATAATTTATATTGGTTTTTAAAACCCAGATAAAAGGGGTTCATCGATACATCCATGTTGGATTCGTGGTCTAGATCTTTTTTTGTAATTTATATTGTGTTTCGAAACCCAGATAAATCTATATATTCATGTCGGATTTATGGATTTGCGATCGAAATCAAGTTTGGGTCTGTCCAAATCAGTGATTCAGAAAAATATTTAATAATAAATAAAATAAAATAAAAATTTAAAAAAATTACAAAAACCACCATTGACTGAACTTTCTTTTTAACCCCCCACCCGCCCCTCCCCCCCCCCCAACCAACCAGCTTTTATAGTAAATATTGTTCTGAATCGCTGATTTGGACGGATCCAAACTTGATTTTGATCTCAAATCCAATAATCCGACGTGGATATATAGATTTATCTGGGTTTGGAAATACAATATAAATTACAAAAAAAGATTAAGAGCACGAATCCAACATTGATGTATGGATGAACCCCATTTATCTGGGTTTTAAAACACAATATAAATTATGAAACAAAACATCTGATGCCCAACATATTATCACAAGAAAAAATAACACTATTATTTTGTAAAATTACCAAAAAGAACATTAGCATTTGGTAAAAAGTGATAGTTTGGAAGATGAAAATACCCTGACCCATACATGTCACATGTCCGAAGACCCTCAATCATCAATGAGGATCCAAGACCCTCAATCACCAATGAGGGTTCGGACCCTCAATCACCAATGAGGTTCAGCACATTACTGCCAGACCGAAACCCATACCACATTAACTACCGGACTGCATGCAACTTACATTGGACGACTAAGGGGATGGCATTTTGATTGGACGACTAAAGGGATGGCATTTTGGTCCAAAGAACTATGCTTTTTTTACTTGGGGGTATTTACTATAAAAGTTTGTTGGTCTAAAGAACTATATCTTTTTTTTTTGGGGGTATTTGCTATAAAAGTTTGTATTGGGGTAAAAGTTGCAATAAAAATATTGGTTAAGCGAATGTTGTAAAGAAAGTTGAGATGGAGGGGTTTTATAATTTTCCCTAAAAATTAAAATATGGGCTTATAGGTTAGGGATTTACAAAAAAACTTATAAAAATAGTAGATAAGTTAAATACTATATATATAGGGTTTTAAGGAGAAACGACCCGGGACCCGTATAATCAACTGATTGTAACCCAAATAGGTGTTTCATATCCAAAATCTGTTACCCAAATAGGTGATTCATATCCAAAATCTATGAGTTCTTGACACTTCTTGGATGATTGTAGTTTATTAACATTGTGCCCAAACATTTCATGCTTTCGTATTGTTTATTTATTCCCCCAGGTAAAACTTAATTTAAGAGTATTTTTAGATTTTAAATTTTGTGGATGTAACCTTTTCAACTCTTAGATTAACTTAATAAAAAATATTTCTAAATAGTACTGTGTGGGCTTGAAAAAAGAATAGAGATCGTCCTATAATATGAGAGGCAAGATTTAAGTGTTACAAAACTCAAAATATAACAGTTGTACTACAATAAAACATCTGTATTAAATAATCGTCTAGTAATTATTATTTAGTTTTCAAAACTCCTCATAAAAAGTCTTCCCTCTAATAAAAAGAGTAAGTCCATGCTCCCATGCAGTATTCCGTATTTCCACGGGAGCATGGTATACATGCTCATTGCCCGCCGTGTACAAGTTAGAATTTACGGCTGTAAAATAGAGGGTTAAAGGGCCGGATGTGAAATTCTTGAGTTATTTTTTGCCTCCAAAACTCGGTATCCGATGCCTAGATTCTAAAGTTTTCTAGAGTGAATATATGTCATCTCGTGACAGTAACAAGTAGACAATATCAGATTGATAGCGTGTACTACGGATTATATGTTTTAAGAGAAAAAGTTTAAAGAAAGTATAGAATGAGCCCATTTATCAAGGTGGTCACATTAACGTTGATCACTTAATGTGACATTGGGTGGCCATGATTATTCTATTCACCAAGTTCAAACTTTAAAAGAAATTCTCTCAAACTTTGTATCACATCCAACCTATTAAATTTTATATTGGGTGGTTGTAAGTAAGGGTGTTGTTGGCATATGCCTCCCTCCGTAAATGTGGACGTACCGTGCTTTTCAAATTTTATCATAATATACCGTTTTGATGTAACATGTTATTAGGATTATCTCAAAATCTATTTTTATATCTAATTATAAAATTTTAAATTTCAAAAATAATTAAAATCAAGTAAATCTATAAACATATAAAAATCTTGAAAATGGATGGTGTCGATAATATGTCATAAAATGTACTATTTCTGAGACTTAAAATCTTTCATTTTTCATAGTCATACATCTCGATGTTGAGATAATCAATCAAAGGGCTTTTCAACATTAAAATTACCTTTT